ACACACACACACACACACACACACACACACGCACGCTGTCACACCCCCTCACACAAACCTCTCTCCCACAGAAACCTCACTTGGGTTCTTATCAGACAGGGCAAACCGCAGGACTTTTCTAAGCCTAAGGCCCACACCATCGTGTGGCACGTTTTGGCATCAAGATGTTAGCGCTGCCATGGTTCAGTGTCAGAGCTATTATGGTCTAGTGTTTCTATTTTTCAAATAAACTATTTTAGAACAGTTTAGACTAACAGAAAAATTGAAAAGACCGTACTGTAGAGGTGTTTTTGTATCACTCATACCTGGGTTCCTTTGTTATGATAGTATGCCAAATTTGTCAAAATTAATGAATTGGTATTGATACATTATTTTAAGTAACAGTTCAGATTTCACTCAAATTTCTTTCACTTTTACTGAGTGTACTTCCCACCCAGCATACCCTATCATAGTCTCATTGGAAGGGTATGTATTAGTCACTTGTCTTATCACTGTTGATCTTAATCTTGATCACCTGGCCAAAGAAACGTTTGTTAGGTTTGTCCACTGTAAAAGTACTTTTTCTCCTACCCTTTGCACACTGTATTCTTTGGAAGGAAGTCACCATGTCCAGTCCCTTCTCAAAAGAGTCGGAGAGGGGGACCTGGGGATGGAGCTCCGTGCATAGACCCTGAGTTCAATCCCTAGTACCACACACACACAAAAAAGCTTGATGGCAGAGTATCTACATACATTATTTGGAATTCTTTTTTACTTTTTCTTTTCTTTTCTTTTCTTTTCTTTCTTTCTTTCTTTCTTTTTGAGACAAGGTCTTGCTGTGTAGTTCAGGTTGGCCTTGAACTCATGGGAATCTTCTTGCCTCAGCCTCCTGAGTGGTGCTGGGATGACAGGCATGCACCACCATGCCTGGGTTATTTGGATTTTTTAAAAAGTTTTTTTGAACCAGAATCTTATAGCCCAGCTATATTTAGTTCAGGCTGACCTCGAACTCTGCCTCAGCCTCCCGGGTGCTGGGATAATAGATGTGGGCCACCATGCCTGGCTCTTATTTGGAATTCTTAGGCAAAGGTATTTTTTCTATTATCCCCCATTTATTTATATATATTCAATCATTCATATCAGTATGAATATAGAAGTATTTATTTCATACTTTGGGTATTTTGTTGTTCAAATTATTCCAAATTAATCTGTTATCCAAATTATTTTGTTGTTCAAATATTTGGGCCATTGGAAGCTCTTTCAGTTAGCTTCTGTGTCCACGTGTAGTACCTACATATTCCTATTATTTTTGTTTCTGTAGCATTTCCTTACTATCTATAAATAAACTGCTCCAGGCTCAACTTGTACGTTTCCTGCCCGAGTCCTAAAATCTATCATTTCTCTACAGAAGAGTGTCAGGGCCAAGTTTTAATCCTAGCAAGTGTGTGTCTGGAAGTTGGGGCAGATCTAGCAGGTAGGCACCAATAAGAGCCAGCCTGCCCTTTGGAGAGGATTTTCCCAGCAGTTGCAGCCGGAATTGCAAGTCCTTAGCTGAGAAATAGGTGACTCACCAGCTCTCCAGGTTGTCTCCTCCCTCGCCCTCTCGCTGACAAGACTGTACCTAAACCAGCTGAGACAGAGGGACCTAGGTCAGAAAGTGTCCCCACCCAAGGGGCCAGAGAAGAATGGACTGTCTCAGGACTTTTACCTATGCCCAGCCGGGATCTCTGCTTTTGTGTGTTGTTTATATATGCCCCTCTACCTGCAGGGGGATTAAATGGGATTATCCTCAAATTTACAGCTACAATAAAACTATTATTAAAACTCAGGTAAAAGGACAAGAACATTGTAAAGAAGAGAGCATGGGCATGAATGTGTTTGTGTTTGCTTGTGTGTGTGTGTGCAGTAATTTTTTTTCCCAGACATCTGGGCTAGGGCAGCTTCCTCAAGCTCCCTCAAAGATTGCTAGAACCAAGAGACCTCTTGGAGATAAACATGCTTCACCTATCATTTTACAGCACTAAAAATGGTGAAATGATTTTGTAGCAGTCACACAGTCAAAGAACTGGGCACATTGGGATATGTCTTTGTTGGACTGGTCTTTTAGAATCCCTCTTTTTCCAAGAGAACAAAAAGAACAGCTTTTCATGGGGATACAATGGTAGGAAAGAGCCTCTAAGACCTCTTTCACTTGGTAGGTGGATAAACTTTTTTTTTTTTTTTAAATAGGGTCTTGCTGTGTAGTCCAGGCTAGTGTTGAAATCACTATGTAGCCCAGGCTGGCCTCAAACTCATGGCAGTCTTCCTGCCTCAGCCTCCTAAGTGCTGGGATTACAGGTGTGCACCACCGCACCCAGCACCAGATGAATAAATTTATGTGGATGTGATTGAGAAGTTTTGGAGATTCTCCAGCTACCATTAGGATTATGAGCATCCCCAGACATGGATATAGGAGTTAGAGGATATATAACCTGGGATGTGGCCGTACTGAGGACCCTACCATTTCTCCATAGTTAAGATGTTAATGGTTATATCCGCAACTTTTTACTGTTGTCTTGAATTTTTGACAGAGAAAGAAGAGGAGGAAAGAAGGAAGGGTGAATTAGGAGTCCTGAGACTTTTTTCAAGAGATCTAGAGATTTGAATTTATGGAATTCTGTGCTACCAACTCATTGAGACAGAGTTGTCTCTTTAATATTCCCCACTCTTCCTCTTCCCAACACTCATTCTCCCCAAAACTCATGAATGTCTGACTCCCTGTGTGAACTCTTGTCAGTGAGTTGGGGTTTTTTTGGGTTTTTTTGGTACTGGGGATCCAACTCTGGACCTTAGCCTTTCGAGGCAGGCGCCGGAACCACTGAGCTAAATCCTCGGCCCATCAGTGAGTTTTGTACGGCAGACTGAGATGAAAGACTGCCTTGGGATCAGAGAATGGACTCTGGCCCTGGTGACACTTAAAGTAGCTGCAATAAAGAGACTAAATTAGCATCAGGCTACTACTCTTTTTTTTGTTTAGGACTGTATTTTTTTCTTTTTATTTATTTAGCTACATTGACACATAATCGTACATTTTTATGGCTTATGATGTGTTGCTTTGATACCTGTAAACATTGTGTAATGGCCGGGGATTTAGCTCAGTGGTTTTGCCGCCTGCTGCGCAAGCGCAAGGACCCGAGTTCGAGCCCTGGTACCAAAAAAAAAGAAAAAGAAAAGATCTTTAACAGCTGAAATAGGAATGCATTTTGGTAACAAATAGCTCAGTTTCATCCAAACACAGCTAAGCTCCAGCCAATCCCAGGTCACCACTGGATCAGATCATGTCCACCAAAGGCAAAGGCCTCACTGTAACTAATCAAGTTATTTCTGTACTTTACTTCTGGGTCTAGCTACAAAGCAGAACTTGCTAATCCCTTTCCATATTGAGTGCTGTTTGATTCATGAACTGTTTTTTGCTCAACCAGTTACATTTCTCTAAAGTTTTTCTTTTAACACATAAGAGCACTGTAGGTATCAGCAATGCAAAACACCCAGAACCAGATTCTTTTTCACAGAATTAGCAGGTATGTATCTCTAGTTTCTTTTTAGATCATTTGTTTCACTGTTCCTTGTTTATAGTTGTTGTTCTGTCCAGGACTTCTATCTTCCCTTCTATTCTGTCCAAAACTTCTATCTTCTATCTTCTATTCCACCTTCTGAATTAGGAGATTAACGTCATCCACAGGGACTTCACAAGTGACACTGTCATCCTTGCCCTCGGACTCTGAACTGTGCTCTGACCTGTCTTGGGAACTCTTTGAACTGTCCTCTTCTTTTCAGTCTGCCTCATTCATCTCAAGTAAGCCCACATCCACTTGTATAACTTTGCTGAGGGTCCCATCGATACTTTCGATATTGAAATGACCAGGGGGAGCAGCTGCCATTTCTTAGCTTCTTATTTGCCTGGGCCATCTGTGGGAGAAAGTCCTGAACTTGGCCTAGTAATGGACTCCTCTCTACTGGAACTGTTTGAAGAGTAGGGGGTTTTTCAAGAATTAGGCTTGTGGTTGAGGAGCAACTGGTCCCACATACCTCCTAGGCTGTGGCCTGCAGTCAGCAGTACTTTGAACACTGAGCCCTCCGGGCACTACCTGGTGGGTGCTAAGGGACTTAGCATGGACCTCCTTGCCTCACAGCCTCCACACCAGGCTACTACTCTTAACTTGCTCCTTAGGTGACCTCTGAGGACTCCCTGGGGGAAGCTATCTCAGTCTGCAAGCTCCTTCTAGGACAAGAGCAGTGGGTGGCTCAGAAGAGCACTGCAAGTAGGTAGTAGGTGCTGTTGATGATAAGAAAGATATCATTTGGCAATTTTGGGATTTTAAAAAATATTCCAATTGAGAATGTGCCTGAAGAGCCTCCCCAATGAGCTTCTCAGCATCCTGAGTTCCTTTTGCAGAGGGGAAGGCGCTCAGAGCCTGCCTTCAGGTTGACTCTGCAGGAAGCTCTTCTGTGAAAGGGAGACAGAATACTTCTGCGTGCTGAGCTCATGGACGAGTTTCTCAGCCTCTCTCATCATCTGTTTTTGATTTATTGATTGACTGGTTGCGGGGCTGGTGATCTAATCCAGGGACTCATGCATGCTAGGCAAGTGCTTTTCCACCGAGAAAATCCCTGGCCCCCTACAGGGAGCTGATAAATTTGGGATTTGGGGGGGATTTTTTGGTACCGGAGATTGAACTCAGGATCTGCGCTCGTGAGGCAGGTGCGTCGCCGCTGAGCTAAATCCCCAGCCCGATTATTCTTTTCTTTTCTTTTCTTTTTTTCTTTTTCTTTCTTTCTTTTTCTTTTTTTGGTACCAGGGATCGAACTCGAGACCTTGGGCTTGCCAGGCAGGTGGCAGAACCACTGAGCTAAATCCCCGGCCCTCGATTATTCTTTCCTTAATGAAATGATTATGCCAACTCTTTGCTACTCCTGCAAGCATATATGTATAGGGTTTTTGTTTTAATGTGTAAAAGGTTTAATTTCAACACGTGTTCAATTTGAACGGGCTGTATTATGAGTTCTGCAACTCGCTTCTTCCTAACAATACATCATGGATGTCTGTCTCTACCAAGATACCTCGATTTGGCGATTCTTTGTCCTCGTACCTGGGCGGCTCTCTGAGGATCAGCTTTCGTCTCCGTTTTTTCCTCTCGGCGTTTTGCTGTGGCCAGGCCTCGAGGGAGGACCGGGCTGGTGGGCGGGGCCGGGGCTGCTCGGGACCTGCAGATGAGGTGAGCGAGGTCCTATATAAACCTGCAGGGTGCGTCGGGCTGGCGAGCCCTGCCGGGAGAGACAGGCAGCGGCAGCCGGTGGAACCTGGTCCCTGAGTGCCGCAGAGCCTGGGCAGGGCTGGCCCCTCTGCTGCCCCGGACGCGGGCCATGCCGCCGCGGGAGCTGAGCGAGGACGAGCCGCCCCCGCTGCGCGCCCCGAGCCCCCCTCCGCGGCGGCCCAGCGCACCCCCGGAGCTGGGCATCAAGTGTGTGCTGGTGGGCGACGGCGCTGTGGGCAAGAGCAGTCTCATCGTCAGCTACACCTGCAACGGGTATCCCGCTCGCTACCGGCCCACGGCACTCGACACCTTCTCGGGTAGGTCGGGCCCGCGCCCGCCGCGGGCTGGGGTGTGGCTGCAGGCTGGCGTCGGGGTGGGGGTCGTGAGAGACCCCGGGAGGAAGCGGGAGCGCGCCCCGAGGTGGCGCTGCTAGGGCCCGGGACGCCCGCCTCACTCGGTGTCCTCTGCCCCGCCCTGCAGTGCAAGTTCTGGTGGATGGAGCCCCGGTGCGCATTGAGCTTTGGGACACGGCGGGACAGGTGAGAAGATGGGCGTGGTCCTTACTGGATTGGGCCGGGGGGCCCAAGAGGGGGCTGGGAGGACCTCCACCGTGCAGAAAAGGAGAAGGGCTTGGGCTCCAGGATCTCGGGCTCCAGGATCTTGGGCTCCGGCCCCAAGCGAGAAGCAATTCCTGCTCCATGTGGCAGAGAATAAACAATCCCGCTAACTCCCTGGCCTTGCTATCCCAGGAGGACTTTGACAGACTTCGCTCCCTCTGCTACCCAGACACCGATGTGTTCCTGGCATGCTTCAGCGTGGTGCAGCCCAGCTCCTTCCAGAACATCACGGAGAAGTGGCTGCCCGAGATCCGCACTCACAACCCCCAGGCACCCGTGCTGCTTGTGGGCACCCAGGCCGACCTGAGGGATGACGTCAATGTATTGATTCAGCTGGACCAGGGTGGCCGGGAGGGTCCAGTGCCCCAGCCCCAAGCCCAAGGTCTGGCTGAGAAGATCCGAGCCTGCTGCTACCTCGAATGCTCCGCCTTGACGCAGAAGAACTTGAAAGAGGTGTTTGACTCTGCTATTCTCAGTGCCATTGAGCACAAAGCCCGGTTGGAGAAGAAACTGAATGCCAAAGGTGTTCGAACCCTCTCCCGCTGTCGCTGGAAGAAGTTCTTCTGCTTTGTCTGATCAGCTGGGGCAGCATGGCAAGCGAGTGGTAGACAGGAGGCCAGAGACTCCTGGAACGTGGGGCATGGGGCCTTTGAGGGGACTACTGGCAGGGCCTGGCCACACCCCATGGGACTCAGTTCCCTACTGGACACTGGGGGCATGGGCTTCTGACCACCTGCTCTAATGAGCCAGGATGACCCTGGGGCCTATGAGAGGGAAGGCTCTGGTTTAGATTTCTTTGGCTCACAGAGAAAACCCACCCAGCACTTTTGATTTTCACGAGATGGTCTTAATTAAGTGTCATCTCTGAGCAGTTTGGGATCCAGTTCCCAGTTTCCTGTCAGCCTGGCTGAATTAGGACCCCTGGTGGTGGTCTTCACACACACATACCCCAGCACGGGTGAGCCTGGAGAACAGCGAGCAGGTCACCTTTCGGGGCTGGCAGGTGATCAGCCTTGAGTTGGAGAGATGTTTGGGATGGAGTGGGTAAGACAAGGCCAGAGAGATAGAGAGGAGCAGCCATCGAGGCTGGGAGCTGTGGGGACTGGAGGCAGATCAGAGGGGTGGACCTAGAAGGAGGAAGACAAGGAGAGCAGGGCAGGCAGGGCAACTGTGGAGCAGGCTGACACCCGGGCTGCCCTCAACTCCCACAGCCGGAGAGGGCGGGGCTGGGCCCTGGGAACAGCTGGGTCTCAGGACTCCCTAGCCACTGCCCAAACTGGCTAGGCCAGCAGTAGGGCAGGAAGTGAGAGTCAATCCCAGCAAAGGGAGAGGGAGGAGCTGCAAATTAGAGCCTGGAGCAGGAAGGGGTGGGGGTCATCCCTTTCCCCAAGGTCAAGGTTGCACAAACCCTAGAAGGTAAAGCAGCACAGTCTGCAAATAAAACCTTCCATTTCTGAAGCTGCTGTTTCTGTCATTTCCTGGCACAGTCAACCTGCTCTCCCCCATAACCCTCCTCAAACCCAACAGCCTGGATGGACAATTGGGTAGCAAAGGACTCGCGCTAGGTGGAAGGGCGGGGGCTGGACCAGATGGGACAGTATGATGGGAACTGGACTTGGGGGGCAGGTGTGGGGCTCCCTGCATGGGGCTTGGCTTAGCTGGTTCCCAGGACAGCCAGCGTGGGAAGCAGCCTGGAAACGGGTTTCCCCAGGTGTCAGCGCCAGAGCTGCTTTCCCATGACCTCACCAGGTGGGTAGGGCCCCTCCCTTCTCACTCCTTTCCAGAGTAAGGTGCTGGGCTCTGGGGCAATCTCAAGGCCTCTAAGGTTTCTGCTGTGATCCTTTTGACAGTTCACAGGGCCCAGGGTTTCAGGTGGGGGATACTTCCCAGGGAGGCCTTGTGCAGCCTTAAACCTCCACCACCAGCCATGGGTTGGCTGGGCCAGTCCTCACCCTGGGCACGTAAGGACCTAGTGAAGGTTAGGAGCTGGTTGTAAACAGTTTAAATAGTTTTGGTCCCAGCAGTCCTGGATGTGGGGGGTTCCTTAGGAGAGGACTTGGTGAGGAACAGAGATCAGAGAATTTTAAAGAACACGTAGAAAATTGGTAATAAAGTGAGATTACTGCTGAGTGATTGTAAGAGTACTTTTGAACTCTAGAGTTGGGCACATGGGGGTTGTTCATTTAGAGAGGTATTTCCAGGAGATACAGGGGACACCTGCTAGACCTGCTGTGGCAGGTGAGCACTCACACCCATCGCAGTCCACTGGGCCCAGCCCCCTTCCCAACTACAGGGGTGTGTGTGTGTGTGTGTGTGTGTGTAAGAGCATAGCTGAGGGACACAAATGCTAGGCAAGTGAAACCTTAGATGCTCCCCAAGTTGCCTGCCTTCTATCCCCCAGAGCATCAACCACCTACTTCCTTTTGTCCTCTTGAGCCCCTCAGGTGGAGATGCTGAGCTGCACCACAACAACCAGATTCTCAGAGTCCAAACCCCTGCTCCCTGGCCAGCTGTTTCCTTGGCCTAGCTTGGCGCACTCTCCTCTGGGCTAGAGACTCAGGTTCAAGTTCAGCCTCTGACACCATATCTGACCGGACTAGAGGTTTTCCAAATGTTCTGAAGGCCCTGGGAGGTGCCTTGGCAGGGGAGGGCTGATCAGGCCACCTCTGCCCCTCCCCCACAGTTTCTTCCCTGACTTTCTTAGGGTTCCAGCGCATCCATATCACCCACCCTGAATGAAGCTTCCTGTCCTGCCAGCTTCCCAGGCCAGGCCAGGAGCTCCGTCAGGCTCACCTCTACGGCTTCCCACTCCCAGCTACAAGGAGTTGCTGCCTCCCTCTGGCACCTCCCTGACTCAAGGCTGCTACTGGTTTACAATGGACTCCCAGCTCCTAATTTTAGCATTCAAGGCCGCCTCACACTGGACAGCAGCCTGGACTGGATCAGTTTGTCCTACTGATCCCCAGTTATCTCCTGGCTTTGACTGAGTCTTGGCTCTTGCCAGGTTCCCTAGTTTGGAAAGTGCTTCCTGCCACCTCCTAGATGCTGTGTTTCCCAGATGCTAACCATTTTCTAATACCTCCGTCTTCCAGAAGGCACTCTTACCGGTATTAGCGTCCTTACTGCTCTTTTGGCACGCTAGGGCTATTTCAAGTTTTGTCCACTGAGCAGAGCTACACCTCCCCAGACAAATGGGGGGGGGCAGAGAAAGACAGAGAGAAGCCTTACTGGGGCCCAGTATCATCCCACAGGGCTCAGGCTCAGCTGTCATTTGTTGCTGGCCCTTAAGCATTCAGTGATGAAGGCCAGCCGGCCTTGGAGGAGTCTGTGGGGATCAAGGTTGACTCCAGGTTTCAGGCCCAGATTTGCAGCCCCCAGGAGGCTGAGGCCTAAGGGCAATGGCTTGCTGGAAAGGACCTCTGAGGCCTGGGGCCCAAACCTGTGCACGACGAGGGGTTCACCTCTGGTTCCAAACCCACTGGCTTTCTAGCTCTGTGTCTATTTTTTTTTGGTACCAGGGATCGAACTCTGGTCCTTGTGCTTGCTCAGAAGGCTGCAAAACCACTGAGCTACATCCCCGGCCCTCTGTGTCTATTTAACACGGTCTCTCTCTACTTTTCTGGGACATTTTAATTATTTTTTTTCAATATTTTTTGCCATGCTGAGGATCAAACCCAGGGCCTTGCACATGCTGGACAAGTTCATCACCGCTGAGCTACACCCTCCAGCCCCTGAAAAATCTACATTTAAAGGAACATTTATTGTGTTACTTAGATAAAATTATGCTTCACATACATAATATTCTTAGATATGTCCTTATTAAGGTAAGTAGTCTTTAATGTCTATGTAGCCCTTAGTTGATTTTTTTTTTTTTAGGTAACGCTTTTTTCCATGATACTCAGAAAATTCGGAAATCCAAAGTAGAAAATTTTTTAAAAATCCCTTTATGGGCCAGGAATTTACCTCAGCAGTATAGTACCTGCCTGGCAAGTGGGAGGTCCTGAGTTGGATCCCTGGTACACACACACACACACACACACACACACACACACACACAAATCCCTTTATACTCTTATCTCCCAAAGACAATAACAACATTTTGGTGTACTTCCTTTTCATCTTCTATACATATTTCTTTAAACACTTTTTTGTGATCATATTGTATACAATTTTCTAATTTTTTTCATTTTTAAAGAACAAACATTTTTTCATTCTAGTCAAGTTCTTTAACTTTCAGTTCCTGTTTAAGAAGTAGCTCGAAGTCATTTGGGATTTTAGCAATGTTTTATCATGTTGTTATCAACTCTGACTATAAGCCCTAACTACCTGTGTATGACTGTTAAGTGCTTCTTTCTGACCTTAAATTCTTTTTTTTTTTTTTTTTTTTTTTGGTACCAGGGATCAAACTCAGGTCCTTGCGCTTGCGAGGCAGGCGGTGAAACCACTGAGCTAAATCCCCGGCCCTTAAATTCTTTAATATATAGGTTATCTTCTTTTAACTTTTTTTCTCTTACCAGTATAAATGACACTACATCTACAATTGATTATTATTTTCTGCTATGGGTCATTGACTGTCTATAGAAAAAAAAAGTTTTCTCCCTTTGGCTTGGCGACTGGGCCCCAGCAAAATCCCCAGGTGATCGATCTTACAGGGAGCTTGGGCTTCTGTGTGTGGGGATGAACGGTGCGGGGGTGGGGGGGGCTCCTTTCTGTTGAAGCATGACTAGCAGACCGTGGGTGCTCAGTAAATAGTAAATGATGACAAAGTGTGTGTGCATTTGTGTTCATGTGTCCCTGATGTCACGCTTGTGTATTTACAGTGTGCCTTTGTGGAAACCTGATTAAGTCCACATATATACATGTCTTGAAATCTATGTAAAAGCAAGAGGCTCTACACAAAATTTGTGTGTGTCTGTGTGTTCATGTCAGGCCTAAAAGAAATGCGTCTTATACACAACCATATACGTGTGTCTGGGAATGTGTATTAGTGTCTGTGCCTGTGTGTGAGCATCTAGGTGGGCCTGGTTTTGGGGGCTGTGCATCTGTTTGTCTGTGTGGGTCTGTGCCCCATCCATGTGGATCTGCTGGGGGTCTCCTTGAGCATCTTGTGTGGGTGAGCAGGCTGGATCTGGATTGGTGCGTGAGTGTGCACAAGCCTGAAGATGCCACATCCCTGCCTTCCCCACGGGAGCAGAGAGGTGCCCAGGGCAGAGGTGACGCACCCTTGCTGAGCTCCCATTCTCCTGGGAACCAGCTCTAGAGAGACACAGAGAAAACTGCATCAGGAGCCCTGGTCCTTTTGCAACCAGCCCTGGCCCCAGGCAGTAATCACTGCTGGGCTCGCAGAGGTCAGACCTGCCCACTGAGCAATGGCTGCCAGGAAACCTGCTCCAAGCAAGGCTGTGCCGGCAGGGCCCTCCTTGGGCCTGCGCCAGATCCCCTGATGAGTGGAACCAATGGAGGCACACATGAGTCACCCTGTAGCAACAGCAAGGAGTGACTTCCTGGGCCTGGGCATTGCTGCTTTCTACCCCTGTGTGCAGCAATGCTAAGGCAGCCTTACCTCCCTCATTATTGCCTAAAATTCCTACAGCTGAGCTAAAACGTACCCAGATGGCTTTTATTAGCCCCAGTTCTCAGATGAGGAGACCACAGCACAGAGCAACAGTCCAAGGTCAAGGCAGAGCTAGACCTTGGACCTGGGGTTCAGGCCTCTTCCTGTGTTCCATGTAGGGAGTGGGGAGGTTCTGCTCCCAGAAATCTCAATCTCTCTCTCTCTCTCTCTCTCTCTCTCTCTCTCTCTCTCTCTCTCTAGTACTGGGGATTGAATCCAAAGTCTTTGCATTGAGCTACTTCCCTAGCTCTTTTTATTATTTCTCATTCATTTTTTATTTCTCATTAAGTTGCCTATGCAGGACTTGAACTTGTGATCCTCCTGTCTCAGCCTCCCACACTGCTGGGATTCCAGGTGTGCACTTCTGTGCCAGCAGAAATTGATCTCTTAGGGCTGGGGATTTAGCTCAGTAGTTCCGACACCTGCCTTGCAAGTGCAAGGTCCTGAGTTCAATCCCCTGTACCAAAAAAAAAAAGAAGAAGAAAGAAAGTAAAGAAATTGATCTTAGAGCACAGGGTGCTGGGAAGCCAGGTTTCTGGGACAACCAGGTTGTCCTGGGCTGGAGAATAAAGGAGCCAGAGACAGGGCTGGGGTAGGCAAGGTAGATGTGAGCACTGAGTGGGCCTGACCTGCTGGTGGAACATCCTCAGGCTTTCTTTTCTAATCAGGGCTGAACGGTGAACACATAACTGGGATGACTAGAATTCCTTGGCAGACTGCATGGCCACTTCAGCAATAACCTTGGTCTATGGTCACCTTCCTGGCCTCTGGAAGGTAGACTCAGTCATTGGCACTAGGTCCATGCCCCCTTGACCAGCATGCCTTTCTCCCCAGAAGATGCCCT